ACCATCGAGCCCCCTTGAGCTCGCCGCCGCCTCCACAGTTCACGGCTGAGTCAACCAAGCTCTCATCATAGCCAAGTCCTCTGCGCACAAGCCCCCATCATCCGAGACCGAGCCATCCCGCCAACCTCGGATTTCTTTGGTCTCTTCTCTCTCTCTCTCTCTAGCTCTCTGTTTTGGGTTGTGTTGGGTTAAAAACATCTTTTGGCAGAAAAAAAAAATGTAAGAAGCGTATAAGTTAAAATAACGCAGTGTGTTATAAGGGTAAACTGGTCTTTCAAAATTTTCGGTGCCGGAAGCTGATGTCATGGGAGTAAATTGCAACAAAATCATAGTTTAGGGAGGTAAATTGCAACAAAATCAAAGTTCAGGGGGGTTTCTTGCAAATGACCAATAGTTTAAGGGGGTAATTTGCAACAAAATCATAGTTCAGGGGTGTTTTTTTGTAGTTCAAGGAGGTTTCTTGCAAATGACCAATAGTTCAAGAGGGTAAATTGCAACAAAATCATAGTTCAGGGAGTTTTTTTATAGTTCATGGGGGTTTCTTGCAAATGACCAATAATTCAAGGGGGTTTAATGCCCTTTACCCTTTATTTATTAATTTGTTGTATTGTTGCATCACAGACTTCACAGTACCTTCATTCTTCAAGCAACACAAAAATTAAAAATAATAAAGAATAAAATAAATACAAATTATAGTAACTTCTATCCATTATTTCCTTTTAAAAAAAATACTTAATTAGAAAAAAGAATAAAAGGTTTTTGTAGATTTCATTTTAATAATTATTAAGCCACGAGCAATACTGTTTGTTATTGGTTGTTAACTAGCATTTGGGAGCATCTAATTGTTGTCTTAGATTTGAAAGTAGTGAAAATTCAATTTAAATCCCTTCTCATACAGTTCTTTGAATCCGTCACCGTGCCTAATTACACCATATTAATAGGGAATTCGAGGGCAGGTGGTAACCAAGATGAATATGATATAATATTAAAAAAAGAAATTTTAAAATATATTGTACATTAAATTACTATATTACCCTTATTATACGGATTATCTCATTTCCTACCTAGTACCTACTCTCTTGGAGTTTCAGTTCGTACAAAATCAAAGGGAGAAACAAACACAACCAAAACCCTAACTCAAACCAGAAAATCAAACACATCAAATCATAAACCCAAACTCATAAATACGAATATTTAAAGCAAACCGATCCAATAAACATGAGAATTTCCGGAGTAATTATATACCAGTTTAAATTCACAAAATCAGAATAGTTGGAAGTTACCTGCATTGGCTCTGGTAGTAACTACTAAGTATATTCTCATGGAATGGGCTTTTCAAAATTGAAGCCATAATGGCTTTAATCAACAGACCACGTCGTCTCTGGTTACTTGGTCCAAAATCCTAACAGGAAAGCCCTTTTTTATAACAACCAGCATATCCCCACCAAATATACCATGAAAATATCATAATAATAAAAAGGTCTGGCTTATTACACACCCTTGTTTTTTTTCTTTGTTTTTTTTTTTTAACCTATATACTCTACACTCTTGTCAAAATAGACAATTATATCCATGGACAAGAACGGACCCAATGTGGGATTGGTGGGGGCGGATGCCCCCACTAAATTTTTTATATTTTCATTTTGTATTTTAATTTTTTTAGAATTTATGAAGATGCCTCACTAAAATTACAATTTGCCCCTGCTCGATATTTTGTTTTTTTTTTTTTTTTTTTGGTATTTTATACTATAAATTTTTAAGAATTTATGAAAATTCTCCCACTAAAATTACAATTCAGCCCCACTGATTTTTTTTTTTTTTTTTTTTTTTTTTTTTTTTTTTTTGCATTTTATACTTTATATTTTTGCAAATTTATGAAAAAACTCAATTAAAATTATAAAAATGGACCCGCTGTATAAGTCTGCCCCCACAAATTAAAAGTCTGCCCCGTTTACAAAATTTTCTGAGTTCGTCACTGTCCATGGATGTTAGTCCGGATGGAACAAGCTCTCCTTCTCAAATGGGAGGTTGAATGTTCAAACCTTAGTGGAGGAATAATAGGCAAAAGTGCAAACAACCCCCCTGAACTATCACAAATCGGCATTTTACCCTCCTATATTACAAAAATGAACAAGTTAATACCACAACTATCACAAATCGTGCAAATTAACCCCTGAAACTCAATTCTGGCCACTTTCTGGCCCACACGGTCAACACATGACTGTCCTTTTCTTTTAATTCCGAAATTACCTTGGAAACTTACCGTTGTAACCCTTTGCCTGTAAATGAACCCATTTGTTCATTTTTCTTCTTCCATCTGGCCTCTAATTTGCTCCACCTTTGCACCAAACACTAAGACAAATTTGAAGAACAAAGTTTAAGGTAAGATATACATATATATATGTGTGTGTGTGCGTGTTTTTCTGTATTATATATATATATATATATATATATATATATATATACGTGTGTACTAGAGAAGGAGAGGAAGATCTATTTGAGCTTGTAGAGAGAGAGAAAGACAGCGGCAATTATGGATAATACTCCAAAACTATCACTACCGTAGCATAATTGATAAAAATCGTAGCCGTAATGTGAATATAATCGTGTGCAGGGATTGGGTATCTCTTTAGGAGTATATCGTCGGCGATAAAAAGCTCTCTTAGCTACAATCAGAGGCAGATTGTGAGGTTGGGTGTGGCTAAGGACCTTGAAGACATGTTGAGTTGGTAGTTTATGTTAGGTTTTTGTCTCTATGGGTTGCTATTCTCGTTGGTGCTGCGCATAATTTAGTTGGATATCGTCGATGAGGTTGTGCATACGTGAGAGGCATCGCCTGCGGCGACTATGTGGAAGTAGACGTTAGAGGCACGTGGTAGAACAGGTGGCCACGGTTGAAGGCCATGTCAGAAAGCGGCCTTGATATCGACAAAGTTAGCGGCGACGGCGACTGATGAGGGAAAAAGTAAATCGGTGTGGCAGAGGTTACCCCTACGCTGGTAGTGATGACGATCAAGGACGAATTCAGGAATTATTAATTTGGGCCGGCTGGCCGGGGGGGGGGGGGGGGGGGGAGGGGAATTGGGAATTGAAAGATTAAAGAGTTGAAAAATTTTAGAGGAAATAAGGTTAGACTTTAGAGGGAGAGAATGAGTGAACTCTCTGATTTGTGCAAAATTAGGAATTTAAGAGTTGCTTTGGCTTAGTGATTGTTTAGGGCTTGTTTGGCTTGGGCTTATTTGGTTGGCCCTTTTTTAAAAAATTGTAACTTAGATATTGGGCTTGTTTGGATGGGTCAAAATTGGTTGGGGGGGGAGGGGGGCCTAATACTACCACTAATTTTTTCTTTTTTAAAATATTGGGCTAAATATACCTATACTAAATTTTTATTTTATTTTATTTGGGGGGGGGGGGGGCTAAGCCCCCTCAAGCCCACCCAAGCCCCCCTTGGATCCGCTAGTGATGACGATCTTAAGCGCCATGAGGTGATTTAGGACGTTCGTGGTGACCACTGTTACCGGCAAAGGAGTCGTTGATGGCGACAGTGATTGGATTATTGTGTCAGCGAATGAGAGTCTGCCACAGTTACTTGAAAATTGAGTGTATATCACATGAGGGGCATTTAGGGTATTTCATGTTTATTATTTAATTTCGTATTTTTTTTTCTTAATTACGATGGGTAGCTTTGTAAATCTACAATGAGGTCGGCCAGAAAGTGGCCGGAATTGCATTTCAGCGGTTAATTTGCACTATTTGGATAGTTATGGTACTGACTTGTTCATTTTTGTAGTAAAGGGGATAAAATGTTGATTTGTGATATTTCAGGGGGTTGTTTGCACTTTTGCCGGAATAATATTTATAGTGAGTGTGTTTGTTTAAACTTTAAAAAAAAAAAAGACAATTCTTTGTGTAGTAAAGGGATCAATAGAATGATTTTCTTAATTTAAAAAATTTTCTAGTGTTATAATCCAACAATTATATAGCATGTATGGGAATTTTATCACCATCATCATCTTTGCCTTATTCTCATAGAGTCGGCCACATGATTCTCTATCTCTATTCTTTTTTACTACCCATATTGCCTGCTATGTTTAATTTTGTAAAGTTATTTTGTGTTGCCCTTCTCTTACCTTCTAGGGCATTTGGTTAAAATGCAATACGGGTATCATTGTTAGTTTGTGAATTTTAGAAGACTATTAACGTCCTTTCAGTTAATAAACTAAATGGTTTGCAGTAACTCGATAGCTATCCTAGTAGTGACATTGTTAGAAAATGAAAATTCCTGTCAACCTCTTTTAAATTTATAAAAGAGTAATGCTATTGTACCCATTTTTCAAGCCTATTTGTCTAGTCGATGGGATTTTCATTCATGTGATGTATTGATAAAGCAGTGTGGGTCTCATCCACCACATCAAATGATCAAAGGAATAAAAATCCTTAGGCTACACAAATAGGCTTGAGATATAGGTTCAAGAAATATTTCACCTTAATTAAAATAGGCAAATATGTCATACCATAAAAAATAAAAAAATAAAAAAATAAAAAATCGACAATATTGACGGGTAGTTAACGCCAACGAGTCATGAGTAACACGCCACTTTGTGTAATCAAGAATACCTTAGAAATACGTATGTAATAATTTATCTTCTCAATAAATAATAGTCCATCACATATTTGAAGAGTAGTGGTGATTGATGAAACCAAGTTAATCAACACATCTCTTAATGTTTAATACAAGTCCCAACAATCCGATGTTTACAGGTTTGTCAAGTATTTAACTTTATTCATGTTAGATTATAAGTCTATCATTTTATCTATTATCTAGATTTGTTATACTATAGACATTATCATGTATGATTACATCTACCATTTTACCATTTATAAGTTACTTGTTCATGACTCATCTACTCACAAGCTTCTCCAATATACAGGGCACTATTGTACCGATTACACATGCAATTCAATACAATATAATATTTTCATTCCTTTATTTCTAACAATGCATTCCACTATAAATTTTATTTATGTTAGAAATAACTTACATGCATGCCCCTTTATTGAAGTACATTTAAACGAGAAAAATATAAAAGACGAGAGATAATTTTCACACTGTAGAGCAGAGATGAAAGAAAACATAAAAGAAAAAAACGAGAAATTAAATGCACAACAGTACAAGTAACAAGCAGCAAAAGCAATATTTGACATTGCGCACTTGATGAATCAACCAACTCCTTGCACCTGGTATAAGAGGAAACATTATTAGCTATCAGATATTCGAATGTGATATAAATAAAGCGAGCGCTCCTTGCACCTGGTATAAGAGGAAACTTCATTTTTTTGTTGTTGTTTTTGACAAAATCAGGTTTTGTACCACTTAAATGAATTAGATATAAAAAAATGAACCAACCCAGCGAAGAACAGTGTGGCCTACTGAAGAACAAAATATACAAATTGACAAATGGTCTAAATTTTTATTGACTACGGAAAAGAAGGCAAAAAAGAAAAATTATTATGCAGTTATGAAGCCAGTAATTTGGCCATACCTACTCATGATCAACTGTAGTTAATTAGTTCTTATGACATGCGTTCCACCAGTACCAAGAAGATTGTTCCTGGTGATCTGCAACTTGGCTACTACATCAATAATATCCAATCGTTCAGTTGGTGACTCTTCTGAACATGCAATTCCAATTCTAAATACCAAACTCAAGCACTCCTGAATCTTATAACTGCTATCACGGTTTTGATTGAGAGTGTTGTTGGTGCTCGTGCTCGCCTCCCTCTCTTCTCTTTGTTGAACTGAATCTGCAATTATAACATTTGCCTTGGCAAAGTTATGAAGGTTCAAACCACCACTAAACATCTCATCAGTCGGCCTTTTTCCGGTAAACATCTCCAACAAGAGAATGCCATAGCTGTACACATCATCGGATGTTGACACCTCACTTCCCATACCATACTCTACAATCCAGACAACCCAGTGCAACAAGAAATGTAAATATCTCTTTAGCAAACAAACATTTTATTTGCAAAATATGGATTCATTATACATTGTTCAGATCTAGGAAAAAATTGCATCTTATTTAATTTTCATATTTGAAAAGAAATATTAAAAAAATAGAAGAGAAATTATTAAATGCTTGAATAAGAATAATAATATGTAAAGGCTTGAATGACGCTTAAAACACTCATTCAGTTTTGGTATTTATATATTAAAAAAAACACATGTTAATATTACAAGAAAGAAAATGAATAAAATCGTTGCATATACTATGCCTAGACATGTGTGAATAAAGTCAAAACCCATGAATCTAGTCTATCATATCTCGACTAATATGGTAAATTACACCCATGATTCCAGCCTATCATCATATCTCGGCTGACACTTCCTCTGAAGTTGATGCTTTGATATCTAAGACGCCTAACTTGGACAATGTATCCTCAAACACGGTTCTTTATAAATAAACTAGCCAAGACATAACAATGGCGTTTTCTTCAAACCACTGTACGTCTTATCTTACTCAGCTAGTGTCTCGTTAGACCATAAACTATCAACAATGTCGCCTTAGACCATAACCAACTAACCATGTCTTCTTAAACCATAACCAACTAACCATGTCTCCTTAGTATAGGGATTAAGTCAGATGCCTCGACTACATAAAACCGTCCTAGTTTGAAAAATCACCACTTTACTCGAAATTATTATTTATCAAACTTTCTAGAAAATAATATTTTTTTGAAAACTTTATTTCAAGTATGAAAAAGCTTGTAGAGCATAACAGAAAAAATAATTTATCATCTATCATACACTTCAAATCAGTTATTTTAAGTGACTAAATGCTTGTGAACAATATGCATGTTAGTCGCAATTCTGGACCAAAACTTGACAAACATGTTGGATGACTAAAAAGGGTAATTTTGATCTTCAAAACAAAGATTATCAATGTTCCTTCGAGCTCTCTGCCAGAGCACCTGAGCAAAGTCAGTATAATACAAGTAAAAAAGTTGTCTAGGGTGATCCTAGACATCTTTTTTGTTCCATCTAACTTAAACTGACTTGGCGGTGTGATAATACATATATCACCAGCACTTTTTAAGATTTAGGGAAAGAAATGTTAACAGAGAATAAAAAAATAAATAAAGTTGTACAGTTAATACCTGGTGGCATATAACCGACGGATCCTCTGATTCCAACAGAATTGGTTTGGTTTCCACTATCGTTATAGTTAGCATCAAGAAGAAATCTTGATATCCCAAAGTCACCTACATGTGCAATCATGTCATCATCCAAAAGAACATTGCTTGGTTTCAGATCACAATGAATTATTGTAGTTTCGCAACGGTGGTGGAGATAATCCAGTGCACAAGCAACATCCATGGCAATATTCAATCTCTGAACAAGACTTAATTTTTTTGGCTCCTCGTATGCCTCGAGTTCTTCTTGATTTGGATGCAACCAATCATCTAGGCTTCCGTTGACCATGAACTCATAAATCAGAGCCTTGAAGTCATTATTTTGGTGATCAACACTTGAACATGCGGTGATTACCTTGACAAGAGTCCGATGCCATATGTTCCTCAATGCCTCACACTCGGTGATGAAACTCTTGGAAGCTCCCGGCTTGAAAAGATTAAATACCTTCACTGCAACCTTTTTCTCTTCCTGATCAAGAAGTCCTTCATATACAGACCCAAAACTACCCACCCCTACCAAATTGGAGTGGCTGAAACCATTCGTAGCTCTATGTAAACTTTGATAGGACACTTTCGAAAAAAAACTTCCTAAATTTCCTGAAGAAGGTGTTACTCTCTTTTTTTTATACCAGCGAAGAAATAGAATGCACAACAGTAATGTTAATCCAAGAAGCCCAGACGCTATGAGAATTATAACTCTTAATGTAAGAGTTATTCCCCTCTTTTTGGATCCTTTGAAGTTACATGGAGGCCGCCGTAATTCAGGTATACCTCCACAGAGCTTACTGTTTCCAGTGACTGAAACTGCAGTTGCATTTGCAAAGACACCTTTTATTGGTACCACACCCTCAAGATCATTGTAAGATAGATTCAAATATTTTAAGAATTCAAAGCCCTCAAGATATTCTGGAATTTTCCCTGACAAATTGTTGCGAGAAAGATCTAAACCTTGAAGACCTCTCAAAGAGCTCAAAGATGATGGAATGCTCCCTTGGAAGAAGTTACCTGCCATATATAACCCCTCTAATCTCACACAGCTACCAATAGTGCTTGGAATTTCACTGGACAGCATGTTCTCCGAAACATTCAATTCACCTAAAATTTTCAAATTTCCAACTTCTATGGGAAGTGAACCGGTAAAACAGTTTTGAGACAAATCGAGAACGATGGATAAGGAGGAGAGACTGACAACTTCTGAGGGTATGGTACCACTGAGATTGTTATTAGAAAGATCAAGTACTAACAAATTTTGACATTTCCCAAGACTTGGAGGGATGTTGCCATTAAGATTATTGCTTCCGAAATCCAAGAGGTTTAACATACTTAAATTTCCCAAAGAGGACAGAATGCATCCAGAGAAATTGTTATTTGACATGTCAAATTTGTTTAGCTTTCAAAGCATTCCAATTTCAGTGGGAATGTTACCACTGAACATGTTGCCCGAGAAATTTAGCCAAGTCAAGCTGATTAGATTCCCAATCCCATCCGGGATACTCCCAAATAACTGATTCTCGGCCACATGAAAGAATTCAAGCTTTGTTGAGAAGTTGCAGATGGATTTGGGAAGCATTCCTCCAAAATTGTTCTCGTCCAAGTCAAGATATTTAAATTAGTGGCATTGGTCAAAGAGGACAAAAAGGACAAAAAGTTCAAGTCTTCAATTCCCCCAATCCCAAGGTGATTGCTGACTAATTTTAAGCGATTCAGCTTATGCAGTCTCTCCATTGTAGGTACATTTCCAGTAAGATGATTTTCACTGAGAAATAATGTTACCAGACTCGATGCATTGGATATTGAGGTAGGAATTGTTCCAGTAACTTGGTTACCGGTCACACTAAAATATTGAAGATTAGGAAGAGTGATGCCTATATCCGAGGGAAGGCTGCCTGTAATGTTATTTCGCTTCAGATCCAAAATTGTTAGAGAAGAGAGGTTGAAGATTGAGGGAGGGATGGTGCCAGAAAACTTATTGACTCCAAGTTGAATCACAGTTAACCTTTTAAGTTGACCAAGTGCATCAGGGACACTCCCGCCTATATTATTATCGGTCGCAGAAAGTAGCTCAAGAAATGATAAGTTCATGAGAGAATGAGGTAAATTTCCTGTTAGGTTATTTTTCATAACATAAACAACATGGAGATTTGACAAGGAGCCCAATTCCACAGGAATTGGCCCTTCCAGGTTGTTGAATTCCAAAACTAAGGAATGAAGGTTAGAGCAAGCACATAAACTGGCAGGAATTCTGCCACTTATTGAGTTATTGTTGAGGCCTAAAACTCGTAGTCTCCGTAAACGGCCAAGCTCTGGAGGGATTTCTTTTTCAAAACTATTGTTTTGGAGATATAGTAGTCTCAGAAAACTTAGATTTCCAATATGTGGGGATATGGACCCAAACACTTTCTGGGACCCTAGGTCTAATTCGGTGACCCTTTTGTGTCGGCGACCACATGTGACACCATGCCACTGGCAGAAGTGAATGGAACCATTCCATGAACTCATAACTTGCAGAGGGTCATTGGTAATTTTGGCCTTGAAGGCCAGCAGTGCAACTCGATCTGTCTCATTCCCACTGAGCCTGGAGGTGGCTGCAGTGGTAGGCATGCTTGCATGCATCAAGCTCAAGCAACATGCAACTATTACATAGATACAAATATTGAAAAGAAGTGACCTTGATATGCATAAGCCCAAGTCTGAAAGCCCCATTCCAGTTCAGAGAAACTCAAGTAGCTCACGTTTCTGCAAAGCAAAGACAACATTATTTAATCTTAAAAACTATTATCTAATTAAGAAGTGGATGAAGAGCATTTAAAACAAATAAATATATAAAGCTCTGTTAAAATCTACCTCCAATACGTGAGAGGGAATTAAGTTGCAAAATTTTGAACTCACTTTCCTTGAAATTTATAGGGACGAAAAGAAAATATCAAGTTGTGATATTTTCTGAGGATTTCAACACCAGGCTTGATTTATATACAGCTCTAGGTTCAAATTTTCCAACTTTATGATGTTGGCATGGTAGAATTTTTTTAATTACTAAATCCATCTCAGATACGTTGGCTGCTTATGCATTTAAATACCATGACCAAGCCAAATGTTAGATATAGCATAGATATAGTATAGCCTTCACAGTTAGACGACTTAACTTAGCCTCATGTTTATATAGCATAGCCTAGCTTAATATATGATATAAATGACTGCAAACCTTTACTACCTTAAAATAAATTTAATCATTAAAATTACAAAATATTTTACAAATCACAATTGGCACCTAAAATGGATATTTGGTCCACCGAGACACGACAACGTGAAGAGAGGGGTTCAGGTCAGCAGAAAGGTGGAAGAAGCATGATCAGGTCCTACTTTTAGTCACGTCAACAACCATAAATAAAACCTCTTTAAAAAGATCAAAGCCCTGCACCAACACATCTAACATGTGCCTTCTAGACTTAAGTTTTACGTACTTGTGTAACTTAGCTCTGCACTTCACCACAAATATATGCTTTACTAATTTAGCTTCTAATCCTAAGCTCACCTTACTTTGCATTTACTTGCTATTATAGTGTAGTTTACAGTTGTTCACTCGTTTAGCATACACTAATTGCATGTTAGGTTGTTGACTTTATGTGTTACTTCCAGTAGTTTAAGGGGCAAATGTTCAATACATTAAAAAAAAAAAAAGCGTGCTAGTGTTGTATGGTGCAAAAGGTGAAATGACTATAAACAATAAAGCATAAGACAGTTGTTTGTAATTTTTTATTTGCAATTAACACCAGGCTTGGTTTAGATACAGTTCTATGTTCAACTTTCCAACTTTATGATGCTGGCATGGTAAAAGTTTTTAGATATATATATATATATTATTACTAAATCCATTTCAGATTTGTTGGTTGCTTGTGCATTTAAATACCATGACCATGCCAAAACGTTGATTGAGTCGGAATGACTGTGCCATATATAGTGTGGTAGCTCTAATTTAAAGCAACATGCTTGATTGGTAATCATGTTGAAATTTCCTTACGCAGACAGATTGGAAACATTGTATAGGATTTCATCAAACATGATTAGCCGAGCCCGCATCCTAACAGTTATTAGGAGCTTAATATTCCTCAGTTGCCATTTTTCCAAAATTTTGAAATCCTAACAGACTCTTAATGGTATATAAAGTTATTTGACAAAAATGGCAGGTCGATTCAATTAATTAAGTTATGATTGGCATTAGTTAGTTTATTAACACGTTGACAAATGATCTAGCTCTTGTCACAATGGTCCAAACTTTAACTTGTGTGTTTGGAGGAGAAAAATAGTTAGAAATACCATATGTGGCGTAAGTTACACGAATCTGACCTTGGAGAAGGTACAGCAGCCCTAGTTTAATACTGTTCTTTTGTTTTCCTAAGTCCCCCATTTACATATCTGTA